TTTGATTAGTCCAAATGTTTTCAAGGTTGGAAATAAATCTTGACTCAGTGAAAAGAAGTTGAAGACATACAGAAAACACATGGGAAATGACTGAAATGAGTCCTTCTTGCTCATTTACATTCGAAGTAATGAGCGGATGTCTCCCGTTAAAGGCAGAGCTTGGGCTAGGATTAGGTTTAAAAGACAAGATCAGCTGCATGCTGTCTCCAGGAGGTTCCCCCGGGATCCAGTGACACAAAGGCAGTTAACGTGAGAGGGTGGAAAAGATCCTCCATACAGACACGAACCAGTGGAGACGTGGTGTGCCATCCCCATATGACAAGATGGACCCGAAGTCAAGCCCCTTGGAAGAGGCGGGTGAGAGTGAGGGATTGTCTGGGCCGTGTTTAAGAAGAGAGACCCGGAGCCCCTTCAGGAAGCCGGTCCAAACGGGGTCTGACTGCTGTCCGTCTAAAGGTGCTGCTGAGAGAGATCTTCAGGGGTGTAACCCTTTCCCCGGGAGGTATGCAGACGGATTCCACAGACCTGTGGGGCTCAGGCTGCCCTCTGCAGGCTGAAGGATGTGTGGTGTGCGTGCACAAGCTGGGCAGACCTGGGGAGCCAGGGAGCTGGAATAGGGCAGCTCTAGGGAGAGGCACTGTCCTAGGAGCGGGCTGCTTGGAGCACCTGATATCTGCCTAATTCCAAATGCACATATTCCCCCTAAAGTCCCAGCTGGAGGAAACTGCACATCCTTGCCATTATGGGGCTCCACAGACTCGCTGGGGTACCCTTCAATGAAACAGCTGGGAGCACTGATTGCTGTGCAAGTCAGCATCCCCAGTGTGCAATCCGTTCAAACGTGGAAATCTGCCACCATGAAACGATTTTCAGGGGTGTGCCCCCTCCTTTCAGAAGGTCACTTTGTTGAGGAGGTCGGAACTCCACTGGCTTTTAGGGCCCTGGACACACAAAACTGGTTGATCACTGCATACTGCACAGACACGTCCCACACAGGGATGTACCCAGGGATCTGTACAGTGAGAAGTTCAGGAGAAGCCTGGTTTCAGGAGCGGGCTGTTGGGGGTACATGGAATCTATCCATTTCCAAGCGTGTAGTAACTCAAATGTACCTCTTTCCTTTGAAGGCTGAGCTGGAGGAGAGTGGACTTCCTTGCCCGGTGCAGCGGATTAAATGTTAGATAACTTGTTATCTCCGTATAATAGACCTGTGAGGACTGACGAAGCTGGGGATCAAACAGGCAGACCATCCTGGGGCTGATAGTCACCACATTAAAACAATGCCAAAGAAATATTTGTGGGGCTTTGATCCCAACAGCCAGGTGACCAGCAGGTGGGTTGGGACCAGGCTGTCCTCCACAGGCCTGAGAGACCCCAGCTGACATTGGCAGGCTGGGGAGGTACCTACTGCTTATGCACAAAATATGGAGGTCCAGATAGGCAG